TTTTAATTTTAGCCATAATTTTTTTTGTTTGGTTCAATTGTAAAATACAAATCTTTTTTGGTAGGATCCACTATTTATTAAGGTTATACCACATGTTTATCGAAAGCTGTATTTTACTGCTTTTTACACGAAGAAATCATTAAACAGTGTAGTCATGCTTTATTCGTCACATGAATAATGAAGTATGTCTTTACCGATCACATGTCAACCGGATCAGGTTCGATGTAAAATTAAAAATATATTTAGTTGGGTCTGATTTAATAAAATAAATAAAAAATATTTTTTTATTTTTAATTGTATTTTATTTAAAAAACTAGTATTAAATATTAAATTATTTTTTATTTATCTTTAAATTCAACTATATTTTTAATAAAAAATATATAAATATCAAACTAATTTTAATTAAAAATAATTTTTATAAAATAATTTTTATTCAAATAATAACTATTCCAGTATCAAATATACTCTTGGAATGACCGATTACAAGTGATATGTTGGAAGCGATTACAACTGATATGTTGGAATCCATTTTTATTGTGTTAATCCAAAACAATCCAAAACAATATAATTTTAATTTTTTTAAATTAAAATAATATTTAAAAAAAAAAACTATGTTTTGTTCGAAAGGATTAAATCACACCTATTTAACTCTTGTATAATTTAAAAACTCTCTTCTTGTTTAATTTAAAAACTTGCTCATGGGTCTCCAGGCTAACCTAAGGACCTGTTTTCAATAACAATCATTAAATTTATTTGATAATTATTATCCGTATTTGTCTAGAACATCCATTTTATTTGCCATATCTCAAGCTGCAGTGAGTTAATGTCTAAAGTCGCAGAAAGAAGGAAAAAAATTACTACTGAACAGTGTTGATGCCATTTATCAACTTTTGAAATTAAAGGTTCAAAATAGTTCACGGTGAATAAACCTGAATGTTGTGACTAGCAATTTAGAGAGAAGACAGCAATGGAGCAGATATTTCACAGACAAAAGCAGCAGATATTTCACATATAATGAAATGAAGTTACACTGAATTCCTTCAGCGAGACTTTCTTCGAATTTACATGCATTCCCCACCTTCGGGGCTTGCAGGTGAGATCAACAACACAATTTTAGCTGAAAAGTTCAGGGGCGTTTCTTCATTCTGTTTTGCCCTTCAACTTTTCTTTCTCATCTTGTTTTTGTGGACGAAATAGCAACTTAAATGTCCATACTGCCAGCAGAGTTCCCTCTATTGGGGCAAGCCAATATACGAGTATATGCTCCTTGGTTATATGATCTCCACGGGCATAAGCCCATCCCATCACCTACAGAGTTTAAAAAGGTTCAGGTCATCTCTATCTAACCTTCTTGAAGTTAAACAAACTTAAGATACATGCATTATGTTGTAACTAGAAGATGAGAACATGACTTACAGAGGCTGGGTTCATACAACCACCCGTTAGATCAGAGCCAAGTATGTGAAGAGATAACTTCGAGACACTTGAGATCCAAGTCTTCATGAAGAAACTTCCAGGGATCTTTCTTGCAAGCCCAAGAGAGATAGTAACAATGGCAAATGTCAGCAATCCTTCTGTGAGAGCTCCTTTATGGATGTCAACAGTCAAACGTGGTCCAAGTCCTATCTCAGGAAAAGTATCAATAAAGAGCCTAACCCCAGCGATAGATCCAATTACCTAGAGAAAGAATTCCAATCAAAAGACATTATATTCCAAATAAGATGTCTTCAAGACCTTCAAATCAGAAATTTGATTAACAAAACCAGATAAATAAATGATAGATTAGTGCTTGTTTGAAAGTATGGCAGAGGTTGCATTTCTGAGTGCTTTTCACTTGGAAATGCATGAAAATAATGTTTTTTTTATTTTTTTAAATTTATTTTTAACATCATCACATCAAAACGATCAAAAAACACAAAAATTTCAAAAAATAGTGAAACGGCGGTTCAACCGCAACACCAAAAAAACTTAAAAAATAACAAGCAAAAAATTTCCAGTAAAACAATCAAGTTATTCTGTAGAGCACTGTTGCTAAATGCTCAGACCAGTGGTAACTGATATCGGGTTTTTCTTGTCCAGTCAGTATTTGTCTTCTAAGCCACAACATCTCCACGTTTGGTTAAGCAAACACTGTTCTCCAAAAATGCATGCACCGTCGCCTTAAACAGGGCACAATGGCAAGGTAAGAGTGGTTTGCTTAATGCTCACGTGAATTAACTAAATGCAGAATCTTCAAAAGGCATCAATTCATTTCTTTTCCAAACGGATGGTAAGTTGCTAGGAGCCAAAGAAATGCATCTTTGGTGATTGATCACACCCAAATCCCGTGCTTTCACCAATCATTCAAGAGCCACAAACATCATGCTTTCTATAAAATTGAAAATCAGCACCCAGATCAGACCAATTTGAGATGATAACGATAATAGTTATAATATTAGAATTTAGAAATACCGAGACAAAATGCAGCGAAGGGGTAAACATTTCACTGGTCATATGTCACCAAAATCAAGATCCCTCTAGCATCCAAACACAATTTCAGCTATCTCATTCAAATAATACACCAACCCATTCAAGGAACAGGATAACAGCTTTAATGAATTGCCCAACCCAACAATCTCATGTGCAAATAAAATATCAAGATCCATACTTTGTCAATGTTGTTACCATATATTCAACAGGTGAGTAAATATCATATCCTTTTATTGAAAAAGTCAAGAAAAGCAATGCGAAGCAGCCATCACAAATTCTGCTCATAAGTTAATCAAAATACAAACATGCTTAACAAAACCCCAATTTGAGTTCATGTTGGTTGGCACCATTTTCTTCCCAATAGCATATTGACCTTTCTTTTTAAAATAAATCACGGCCAAAAAATATTGCAGTGATTGTTTAAGCTGAACCCATTATTTGAAACCAAATACAAACAAGAACACAACAAAATAAACAAACTACAATACAACCCATTTTCCTCGCATTTCAAGCAAACGAAACAAACCCAATTCACATCTAGATGAAACAAAAGTAAGTAACACCTTACAGAGAGAGAGAATCTAACCTGAGCAGGGATCCTAGCCCCAATGGTGAAGAGAAACTGACTGAAATCCCCAGAAATAGCAGAAGACAAAATAGTAAGAGGATTATAAGTCCCTCCTTTAGTAACCTTACCCAAGAACGCAAAAAGAAACATGTTCATAATTGACAAAGAATTCTTCAAAAATTCACCTCTTGAATCATGCCCCATTCCCAAAACCCTGAACACAAAAATCTTTATCAAAGAACCTGACCATACCCACATAAAAGAAACTACAAAATCTGACAGAATTAAACGAGTCTTGGAAACCATTTTGGAAAAAGATTGAGACTTTGAGGTGGGTTTTTGTTTTTGGAGGTGGGTTCATCAGGTTTTTTTTATCTGGGATAATTGTTTATGCATGCATGGCTATGGAAATTGCTCAGGCAATTTCTTGGGCGTTAATTGTGGTTGACCATGCTCCTTCCTAGTGGTTAATCTTTGTTGCCTTTCTTTGTCATATATCAATATCATATTATTAATCAAGACAATGACAAGGCCCGTTGATTTTTCGGGGGGGATGAGATAATAAGCCCATTGATTTTTTAGGGTTTTTAATTCAATGGATCATGTGTTTAATTTGACTAATTCGAAGATAATCAAATGACAAATGAGTTCATGTTTTGGATTATTTCAAAAAAATTTAATTTTTTTATTAATTTTAAATTAATATATTTTTAGTATTTTTAAATCATTTTTATGTAGTAATATCAAAAATAATTTTTAAAAAATAAAAAAAATATCATTAAGATGTAATTTGACAAGAAAAATAATTTAAAAAATAACCACAATCATATTTAATAAACCAATAAAATCTATTTTCTGATTTCTTCATATATCTTTCTTTGACTGTCAAGAAATAGTTTTTAAATTAGGCAAATAAAAATTAAGCTAATGTTTTTATAAATTAAAACTTCATAAATAAAGTAAAAAAACTTGTTTATCATTTTGTTTTTCAAAAATAAAAAACCATACTAACAAAATGTTTTGAAATCAAACCAAGCGATTGGTGCTTGGATAGGTGGTCCACCCCTCATCTTTCAGTCTCCACACCACAGTTCTACATTTTATTTTATTTTTTGCATTTCAGTCAGTTAACTCTGTTTTACTTTACACTTTGGTTGCTAAACTTTTTTTTTTTGTTCGATTCCATCATAGAAATTTTTGTTGGCATGGTCATGTGTGACATGATATGTTTTGATTTGCATGATCTAGTGTGGCCCGTATTTTATATAATCTTTTTGGTATTAAATTAAAGATCAAATTTATGAAATGGAATTTTAGGTTATTGTTATTTGAGCAAACAAGGACCAAATTAAAAAAAAAAGTTGTTTTTAAGTTTCACTATTCAAAAGGCATATAAAACTTTAATTTAATCCCTTAAGTTTTAAGATATTATGACTTATTATCCTCTCAAATTAAAAAATAAAATAAAAATTGAACAGTCAGTTGCAAATCCTATATGGAAAGGAGAATGCTGCATTGTTTGATAGGACAGCTGCTGCTATAAACGAATCACTCCCAGTCTAATTTCTTGCCAAAACCAGAAGGATGGCGCTAGCTGATGCGGGAGAAGCGAATCCGAACAATAATATTTTTTAATTAAAAATACATATTTTTATATTTTTAATATTAACATGTTAAAAATCATTACAAAACATATAAAATCATTAATTTAATATTTTTAATGAAAAATATATTAAAAAATATAAACTTGTTCTCGAACATGATTGCAGTTATTTTTAAAGTATTTTGAAATGTATCAAAATAATATTTTTATTATTTTTTAAAAATTATTTTTAAAATTCACATATCAATTTTAAAATATATATAAAAAAGTTAAATATATTATAAAACATGATTTACACCACATTTATCCTCTAGTTTTACTTTCTGTGTTGTTGCCATTTATATATTCTCTGTGTCGCTTCCTGGATCTTGAAGCAAGGAGATAAATGCATGAGGTGACAGTAATGGAGTTGTGGTGGCGTTTTTGTACGAAATTGAAGGGCCCTTAGTCCCATTTCGTGGTTAGGTTCGGAGGTTGCAAGAGCACCTCTTCCAATTAATTGCATTTTCAATTACCTATATAGAGAAATAAAATTACTTTCCAATAAAAAAGAATGAAATCAGCTCCAATTGCCTAAATCATAGCTGTTAAACTGACTTGAAAAACCCAGAATTGAAAGCTTGATTCTTATGGGGATTTTAATTGAATGAAATAATAATTGATTAGTAATTTGAGTTTCATGTATATAGTTTAAAAATCTAGATTAGCAGATAAGTTGATTAATTTAAGATTTAGAATAATTTAGAATATTAAAAAATATAGTTTGATTTATTAATTAGAGGTTAATCTAGTTCAAAATCCAACCATTAACTTATTAATTTTTTTTACAAACAACTTTTATTAAAATAATATTATTTTAATTATTTTTTAAAAATAATTAAACTGGATGGAATAAATCAACCCTTTCGATCCATGATAAATACCATAGCTTATACGGTCATGTTATTATTTAATTAAAACCAAAGTTTGTATATTGAGATTAAACTATTTATTTGATCCAATTAAAGATAAATCATCCATATTTATTTAAAAGGAGGAGACTTAAATATCATTTAGATACTCGACCAAATTTAGTGGAATGGTTGAATAATTAATGTGCCTTCCAAGCAAACTTAGCCTTGATGATGATTGACGATAATTCCCTTCATCCAGAGCATCAGAATTAAAAAAAATAAAAAAAATGAGTGGAGACTAAGGTAAAGCTTTTGAATATTTGCTAGAAAACCACTATGTAAAAATTAAATAAAAAGTTAAATATGTTTTTTATATCTAAAATGGCTTTTGATTGCTTACTTATTTTTAAAAAATAAATTAATAATTTGGGTTTTAAAAAAAGTGTATTATAAAATCCCAAACCAAAATAAACCAAAATGAAATGGCGAAATTGATGCTGTTAATCTACCAAAAAGATTAGTCATGATAACTTTTTAATATATATTAATTTCTTGAGCTCTTTTCCAATTAAATTATTGTTTTTTAGATAAAAATAGGATTTTTATTTGAAAAATAAATTTCTGTTAAATTCTTAAACATTTTTTGGATGGTGACTGTGTTATACAATACATCCACATGAGATTAACACAACCATTTTGGATTTTTACACATTGGGTTTATGGCAAAATGAGGTTTTGATTATCAACTTAATTAATTTATCATGTTATTGAAATATTATATCATTAAAACTATTATCTATTAAGAAAATTAAGGCTGGTCGTTGAATTTAATAATTAATTTTAATAATTAAACTTTAATTATTAGTATGAGACTATTTGGAAACACGGTATAAGTTGCATTCTAAAAACTTTATTATTTATTTAAAAATAATTTTTTAATTTTAAATTATTTTAATGTGCTGATTTTAAAAATAAAATTAAAAAAAATATTATTTTGATATAAAAAATACTTTAAAAAATAACTACAATTACTTTTCCAAATAAATATAATATCATTTAAAAATAATTTAATTCTTCTTATAGGTTAAAACAATTTTAAAAAATAGTGGCATCATTCAGTATTCTCTATCTAACAATTCGAATAGGGAAATAAATATCATCAATTTTAAAATGACAATACTAGATAATATATTGTTTAATATTATTTTTTTATTTGTCAAAAAATCAAATTATTTTGAATTGGTATTGTTTTATAGCATATAAATGACCCAATCAAAGCTTACTCGTTAAAATGATTAAATTTAACATCATATCAAATAAATAATAATTTAAAGATATAATAAATTATATTTAGTACTGTAGTGTGAGATATTTATCTTAAAAAACATTATTTTAAAAATACATTAAATATAATTTTATTTTAGATATTTATTTATTTTTCACGTTAACAAATCAAAATCATAAAAAATATTAAAAAACTAATTGAATATTTTTTCAAGGTAAATATATTTTCAAAAAATAAAAAAAAGAAGCTACTAACAAATATTAAATAATTCAATCCTAATTTACTTACCTACCCCTTCCCAAACACCATTCAGTCTCGAGAATGCATGTCCTTTCACCTAAAATAGATAAATTTTTTAAATTTAAATAATTGATTTTGGAGGACATTCCAGAAGAGAGAAGAGCACACTGTCGATGAAGCTGGCGCTGCTGCTAACGGCTAGTCTGGGACGATGACAGTCTAACGGTCACATACTCGTACCAGCCTCGTAAAGCCTCGGCAGCTGAGGCTGAAAATAATTCAAATTAAAATAAATAAATAAATCATCATTATTATTATTATTATTATGATTCAAATGTGGGACCCGCACTCGACAAGTTACCTAACCTCGAATTTCAAAAAAGGTCCTCTTTAATTTCGGCTTTTACACGTCATGTGACTGAATTGCCCATGCTTTTCCTTTCAAACTACTTGTTCTGCCATTCCTGTTTGAAACATGTTTTTTTTTTTAAGCATTGTTTTAAAACTATAGTTAATAAATAAAAATAAAAATAAAAAACTTACCATTAACACATTCCAATTTCAAAAGCTTGAAAAAGGGTTTGAATCAAACAAAGCATGGTGATATATTCTTTCTCGCTACCAAAAAATATTTATTTTTGTAATATTAAATTTCATATATTAAAAATATTCAAATTCAGACTTTACACAACTTTAACAATCAACGAAAACTCTAAATAATTAAAGAAAATAAATATTATTTTTTAAACCATCAATAATTATAAAAACCATTGCTTTTTATGTTTTTTCATCAGGTTAATTGTTGAATAAATAAATAAATCTAAAAAAAAATATTCATCGAAACATAATATATTTTTTCAACTCATTTAAATTCCATCAAACCCATAAGCTAATATTTTCATTAATTTACTCAAGTAATTATGGAGGAAGAAATTGATTATTAGAGTCACGATAATAATTATTTGTTTTGTGGGAGGCTAGATACGTGATTCCATTTTTCAAGAAAATATAAATAAAATTAAAATTACGAATCTATTAGTAATGTTAGATTTTACCTATCTCCACTCGCAGATTAAGACATTTAAAACACGCGCGGGCTCTGCCAGAATTTCTCCTCAAAAAGAGAACCACACACGGAAACCAGAGCGTGGGATTGAATCTCCATCTAACGTCTATATATCATTATATGCTCTGTATCTTGTCTAGCGACACGTTATTACAAATAATTAAATTTTCAAAACAAATTGTTTTTATTTTTGTATTTCTTTTCACCAATCAATCATTGGTTCCAAGGAGAGATCTTTCTCCCACTGTACTTAAACATAAAGTACTCCAGCCTCTCTTTCTCTCTTGAAGAAGAAGGAGAAGGAGAAGGGGAAGATAAGGTAAATTACCCATCTGGGTTTGCTGTTTTTTGAACTTTATTCGATTCCTTTTCTTCTTGAAGCTTGATTGACTCGTTGGTTTCTAAAGTGAATATGATTAGTTTTAGATAATTCTTGTTGAT